CCACATTGAATACGTTATCGGTAGGTTGCGTACAGTGCTCCTCGAGGGGATTTCCAGGACATTGAAGGAACACGACAAACCAGATGGGGAAGGAGATGGGCCTTATGCTTCTCGTGGTTTTAGCGAACTCGGCCATAGTTTCTCCGATTTCGAGAAGAACAACGAACAAAGGCCGCGTGACATTTTCCTGGTATTTATTGTACTTGCTCGTCAGATCCGAGAAAGTTGTCATCATGGTCATGACTCGTTGTCGTGAGAATTCCCGCGACCACATGTGCACCAATGTCGTCGTGCTCAAATCTGCGCATTTGACAATGGTTTTATTTTATTATATTTCATTTAATGTCAGCATCAGATATTCTGTGGATTGTGCCTTAATATTAATTAATTTTTTCAAGGATTAATTTTTAATGTTTTATTTTTATTTAAAATGGAAAAGAATAGAATTTTTAAAAATTGAAAATATTAGCTATATATGACGTTTTATTTATCTTATTGTTTATTTAGCAGCAATATTCAAATTTAAAGAAACTAAACGTCTCACGCATGTCCCTAAATTTAAAAAAAATTAATTTATACCTGTATACAATTTTTTTGTTACGTAACATTTGATAAATCATAATCATTTATTTTTTAGTTAAATGATGTTAAATTAATAATATATTATTGATAATTTATACATTTATAATTTAAGAAGATATTTTGGTCTTATGATTTCCAGAAATCAATTGTTTTCTTTTTTCAAAAGTTTATAGTCTTAAGAATATTCCACGAAAATGTTTTTTGGGAAAAATAAAAATTGGATATGCAGAATAAAATAATACATAGTGCATGGGATCGCTTATCTAATACAAATAACGCTCCAATCGTCCTGTTTTGTAAAATAAAAATTAAAACAAATGTTATATTTTACATCTACATTATATGTATTTATAAACTTATGTCATTTTTTAAGTACGTCTGAATTTTTATTTATAAAAAAGATTTCCAAAAAATACCTTTAAAATCGGCTTTTAAAATTTCCTTTAACTTACTTAACTTCATTATTTTAAGTAATATGATTAAACTGAAATGATTTGCACGAAAAATTATGATTCAATATTTATTCAAAAGTTCGCGAAAACTTTTCTTTTCGCCAAAAGTGCAATATAAGAAACGATTGCCGGAAATTGTTTCCGGTTGCAGACCACTTACCGGAGTTGCCAGATCGCACGAAAATAACGCAGGACGTGCGATAATATCTGTGGACGTCGTTGAACAGTCGGAAATAATTGTTAATACCTATTCTTTCCGTCAGCAATTTGTCCAACATAAGAAGAAGCATCGCTATCGATCGCGCTGTCATGTACCTCATTTCGCGTAGCACACGATTGAAAACGAGTGCGACTTAGTGAAATATGAGTACGAGTATAATTAAAACGATTACTGAGTAAAAAATAAAAGAATAATAATCTATTTTGTAAATTTGAGCACTGTTACGATAAAACAATTCACAATTAATTAGGAGCGAGTAATAATGATAGAGATGCAATAAAATGCAATATATCTTACTTCGAAGTTCTAAAAACAATAATGAATCGCGGTATTCATGTTGAAAATATGTTTATCGCTGAGCCACAGATTAAGGAAAAAAGAATGAGGATACCCGCGACTCAAGAATGCAAATGCGTGACTAAAATGTGATCATCGCAAATAGGGATTTATCGGATACAAGGATCTATAAGGGCTAGGCGCAAAAAAATGTCACCGGATAATGTGAATGTGCGTCATTATTACAAATTATATAGAAATACGCAAGGACACAATTTTTATCAACGGGTCATCGACAAAACCGTTAAATTATTCAGCGTCGTTGAGCTGCCCTTGCCTCCATTACTTATCGGTGCATCATCCACAAGGCTGCTACTACATATATATGGCATTCAGGTGTTTTAGTTTTCACAGATTGATGCATAAAGATCAGTGCAAACTTAGACGTACATGCGTTCTCGCAAAAGGGATGTGGCATTGAACAGGAAAAGAAAATCTTTGTGATATCGACAAATTGATCATTTAATTTGTTACAAGGAATGATTTAAATAATTTTCAACAAGAATTATTCAAATCATTCGCTGTAACAAATTAAATAATCAATTTGTCAAGAATTAAGCCAGTATTAACAGGAATGTTAAAAGTAAAAAATAAAAAGCTTTGGAAGGCGCGTATCTTTTCTTGCTAAAAAAGTGTCTCTTAATTGTTATTTTATTTTTATGTTAGCACGCCGTAAACGTAATTTGTTATATAATAATTAAATAATAATTATCATATACATTAGAATCATTAGACATAAATTTTTAAATTATTAATATAAATATCTTAACAATATGTTACAGTACACATATCATTTAGAAACGTAGAATAACAGAAAAACTTTAATTAACTGTTTTAACTAATCAAATACCAATTAGTTACATGTAACGTACTTATTAGATATAATTTCGCACTCATGCGTTATTTTATGATTATATTGTTGAATAGAAAATTAATAACTAATAAGTACGTTTCACGTAACTTGGCGTTTGTTGGAAAATTTACAAGCACAAACACATAAATAATATAAATGTACACACAAATGGAAAATTTCTGCTATAGAGAAAGAAAAGAGACGAAGAAATTCTCTCGATAGAAAGATATCTGTCAATTCATTGTAAATTAAATTATAAATTTTATATCAATTATTGTGCTTTTTGATAAATATCTTTCTGGCAAGAAAACTATCGATGTGAGTTTCCTTCTTCTCGATCGATAATGAAATTTCTTTATAATCAGCACCATGCTGCTTATATAACACAGCTTCCACAATAAATCGCCAAAATTAGGATGATGCTAATCAAGCAAAACAATTCGTAAATCTTGCTTCAATTTATTGCAGCAAAAATGTGTTCCTCAGACGCATCATATGTTGTCTAGAATTTCTGATGATTCATTAAACCCATGTAGGGGCTTAGATGGGATCATCTTTAAGTTGTCTATATCCTCTAGGTGCTGATGCTCGACAGTTTGTGAGGTATCTTTATTTCTACGCTTCTCTTCAGAGCGCTTAGCACCATATAAGCAATCTTTCTTCTCTTCCTGTATCAGTAGCAGGTAACTGATTATGTAAAAAATTTCAAGCACAGATACTTTAAAGTAATCATATTAATTAGGAGAAGAAAGTAATTTTATAGAAATAAAAGATTGACCAGCTATGTCGTTTAAATTAATTTTGCTTTTCATTCCTCTTGATGTCGCGCATAAAAATACGGATTATTGATCGTATTTGCACGAAACCTTCGATCAGATCTCTCACACATACAGCCATATGTTATTGACAGCTATGTTATTCATCCTTCATTAATTTCATCAGTTTTACCGAGAAAGACTTTGTCAACGCGCGCCTCGTATATCTAGTCTGAAATTATCGCGAAAAATTATCTGATAGAAAAAAACTAACTCTAATACAAAAATTTTTTATTGTTCTATTCGCGTCAACAATACACCACAGTAGACATTAAACGTGACCGTAATTCCATATATTACCGAATGCAACGGTATGACATAACTTCGATCGCACGAAAGGCGTATGAGCTGAAAGTGAAAGTCGGGCTTCTTGATCGCTTAATGAATTTACGGAGACTACGTCGTAGTCGGTGCTGCCGCGTCGAACGTTCAACTTATAAGTATCGTCCTCGACGAATTCGTGTATCGTTTGAAAGGACAGGATGCCATCAGAAAGTAAACCAGTCGCTGAATAGGTTGCCGTTATCAGCACCGCCGTTAGAAATATCGTGAAGTACGCCATGCGCAGCGACAAACATTTCAGAAACATTCTGGAGGAAGAAATTTAATTATAGCATCGATCTACTTTCGAAAAAGAAGAGAATAGAGTTCAATGTCAAACTTAATTCTGAATTTCATTAAAACTTAATTTATCACTTCCTTTTTAGAAAAACAAAGCAATCGTGAGATAGTTTACAAATATCTTAGAGCCAAATGTTTAAAATTGCTTCGGAAGTTATTGTAAAATTTATATTATTACCTATAAGCGCCTGCTGGCAGCAGATATTCATGATGAAATTCTCAGGAATCTGATCCACGGCGCTTCGTGATTCGATATATTTTCATGAACAATAGGAGAAGTCGATCGTTGTCAGCGTGACAATTATAGCCCACGTACGAGAATTGAATGTCTGTCGTAATTATATTGCATTGTTGAAAAATTGGTTCCACAGTTTAAAATCAATTCGAACTTACTCGATTTAAAAAGAGACTACAACTGATATATTGGTGGAAGTTATTGTATTGCTTAAAATACATTTTATATATTATAAGTATATGATAAACTTAGGTTCATGTAATAAAAATTAAACACTATTCGAGGAGGTCTGAATGAGCACAGCTGGTTGTTCGATATCTTTTATAAATTAATTGAAAACATAATACGATATTCCTATATAGTCAAATATTAAATACAACCGTTTGACTTGTAATATATCCTCACAATAAGATACTGTTTCATTTTTAATATTGCAATATTGATAAATATCTGCAATATTGATAGTTAAATATTATTTACAAAATCATTATTTAACAGTGTTATGAATTACAATGGTTTTCAAAAAAATTTTTTTTAATAATAGAATAATATAATTATACAGAAGAATTGTCGTGGATTTCACAATAAATAGTATAGGAATTGATTACAATCTAGTTCCACAGAGAATTGAAATCTTAATACATCAGATCTTTACCTTATTCTTATTTTTATGTATCAGAATTATGAAAGAATATAATTATATAATAAGTATTTTATTTAATTATAAAAATTGTAAGTTTTTACAGACAAGACATCCCTGTAGCAATTATAGCGGTCCTTTCATCTATTATGGCCAATAGCCGATCGGTCTATTATAAAATTCTTGAAGTTGAAAATTTCTCTCGTTGTATCCCATTCGCACTTTATTTTTTATGCCAAGATTATGGCTGAATTTTTTAACAGACGATTCGTTATTCTTAGGTCGAGTTTTAAACAAATAATACATTCTCTCGATTATCAATACAAGTAGTGATAGAATCATGCTGCCCGCCATTATCGTCAGAATCGGCGTTACATTGCTTATATCAATTATACTGAAAATCATCTTGTTTGAAGGATTTTTTGCAAGATACTTGCTCCGCAACTTCTTCATTACGCCATTAAACTGCAATCGGTGCAAGCTGAAAAATATGAAAATGTTAAAATATTAAAACATTCACTTTCAAAAAGGAAGAAACAATCGTAAGAGGTTCAATCTGTATTTTTTATAGATATTTTTTATAAATATGTAAATAAATAAATATTAGTTGCAGGACTTATAGGACTTACTGATAATTTATAAAGCCAGTGTAAGGATTTCCTTTTGATAGCGTTAGCCCCATATTTTGAATTCTCCCGGTATCAATGTATACGATCTTACATTGTATTTTCATGGTCTCTTTGAGAACCTCCGTCGTGTAAAATGCCAAGTTCTTCCGCTGGCAGATCTGCGTGAGACGTGAATCGACTTAATGAAACGTAACATCATTGATGTCATTAATTAAATTATATCGCTAACTTGCGTGAACCCGTCTGTCAGTGTTGCCGGTAAAAACTTCTTATCCACCAGCAATTCATACATTTTCCGAAATACTGGGTCTTTGACACGCTGCAAGATTCGAGAAAATAAAAATTGGAATATATAATTTGAATAAAAAGATGTTGTTTCTCTTCCAATTACGTAATCGGAATACAATAACTCCTTTACAAACTCACACAAATAATACTTATGAGAATCTAAAAAATTCGTCTCTAAAAAAGGCGTGTTAAGTCAGTACTCAGTACTCGTATCTATTAAAATTTATTATTGTAACTTTTCCGTGATGCTGATTGATTCTCTCGTTGTGCCTACTTTATGAATGGTTGTCATTGGATATTTAAACAATACGTAGGTGTTGTAATATAGCAAATATAGCAAAAAATAAAAAATGTAAATAACACGCGCGAAACGTGCGTCTGTAATGCTATAGTAAGAATAAAAATGTCTTCTCTGCAAATAAAAAATTTAATTCCATAACATTTAAAATTATCAAATTTTCTAAAAAATTATTAAATTATTAAAACTTTATATGTAACGTTATACGTTAATGTTAAAACTTTCCAAATGTTCTTGGTTACATTTAATAGATTGTTTTTATTCGCGAGCGCTTCGAATGAAAATACTGTAACAAGTTGATATTACGCAAAGTAATTTCTAAAGTTTAAATAATGGCGGACTCACACTAGGAGCCTCGATCTCGGCGCTATTTTGCACAACGATTAATTTGTAAGTTCCGTCATTAACGAACTCCTCAAGAGTGGGAAAAGGCAGTGTGGGGAAATTGAGCGCCAGAAAGCTGATCAACGAGGCGGAATAGATGGCCAAAATTATCATCGACGAGATGTAAATCGAAAAAAAAGCCAGCCTTATTGGTGAACTTCTGGGAAATTCTGCGATTACATGAAATTATATATGTGCATTCTATTCTGGCGCCAAATATACATATATTAATATATTGACGTCCTAATGTCAAAAACGTTGATCCACGAATAGTATAAAAATGTTATATAAAAAAATCTTAAGTAAAATTATTAAATATCTCTATAACAAATATTACCTGGCAGACTCTGTTGGCAATAAATTCCCCAAACCTTAATATAGTTTTCGGACATTAAGTCCATCGAGAAATATCCATTTTTTATTTTCATAATAGTCAACAGAAAAGAAGCGACTATTATTAACATTATTAATGCTACCCACATTTCTGAGCTGAATGCCTGCAAAATTTATGAATGAAAGAAAACACTATATTGACTAGACTTTGTTACCGCAAATATTTATCTACATAAATTATTTTAATACTAGCTTTATTTTCATAGGTGTAATAAAAGTATAAAAATATGATTTTAAATAATTAAAATTTTAATTTTAATATACACTGGTCCAAAAAATTAGGAAATCACTTTTTTTGAGTAAATTTTAATTCATTTTTAAACTTTGGTTACTCAAAAAATAATTGACGTAAAAAATAGATCAAAAAAGGATTTTACAGGGCAAACTCTCACCTATAAGATGCCTTTGTTCAATTTTTACTTTAATATATTCAAGTTTAATACTCAACAAGGATGTGATCAACTTTGAATGAAAACGTATTCAACACATAAAATCTTGAAATTTGTGGTCTTTCACCGTCTAACAAAAAAATCGTTGAAAATAATTATTGGTACCATCTCAAAGTACGGACTTTGTTCTTTCAAATGAAAAAACAACTTTTCCCTACACCGGTTATTTAACAAGATGTTGAAATTTCAAGTAACCTCCGTTTTTTACGATATATCGTACTAAAATCGTAAAAAAACAGGTTATTTGAAATTGCAATATTTTGCTAAATAATCGGTGTAGAAAAAATTTTTTTTTATTTGAAAGAGCAAAGTCCGTACTTTGAGATGGTATCAATGATTATTTTCGCCAATTTTTTTATTAGGTGAAAGACTACAAATTTGGAGATTTTAGATGTGTCAAATACATGATCTTTATTCAAAGCTGAAAACGTCTTTTAGTATTAAAGTGAATACAAATTTAATAAAGGCATCGTATAATAAAGAGTTTGTCCTGTAAAATTCTTTTTTGATAAAGTGAATACAAATTTAATAAAGGCATCGTATAATAAAGAGTTTTTCCTGTAAAATCCTTTTTTGATCTATTTTTTACGATAATTATTCGCTAAGTAATCAAAGACTAAAAATAGTAAAAATAGACAAAAATTTATTGAGAAAAAGTGATCTAATTTTTTGAACCAGTGCAGTGTAGAGAAAATTTAATATATTTAATTTCATTTATATAAAATAAATATAAAATTTTTACGTTGTAAATCTTTCGTAACTTTACAATTATAATCTGTATATAATTAATATTATAGGTAATTAATATAGAAAAAGATTGCCGATACTATTGTACATTTGTTTTTAAATTATATTTCTTAAACAAAAATTAAGAACAAAAATTTAAAAACATAAATACAAACTAAAAAACCTTTTATCAGATAATATAGCAACTTCTATAACACTGCTTCAAATATTTCATGTTTTTATAAGTTAAAAATGAGCATTTAAAAAAATCAGCCCCAAAACTGAAAAAAATTAGAAAAAACGTAAATAAAATAGTTTTAAGAAGCTACAAACATGTAAAAATCTAATATTAACAATAGTATATCTTATGTTATTGAACTAAATAATTTACAAAAAAAAATTGTGATACTGTTATTTTCGTATTTGTAGAATTTTTTAGCTAATTTTATATATAAATAAGTTACACAAAAATACAAATTATGAGTTCTTACTTCTTTAATTATTTTATTAAGCTAATCATGTTTTCAGTATTGATAAAATGCATCGATTAGTTTCCGAGAAATAAATAGATGTCTTTTTAGAAAATTAGACTTGTCAGTATCAGCGACTTTCCTCGATTAATTAATATACATCATTAAAATAAAAATAATGTTATTACGTACCTTCAAGTATAAATCCCAATGCACGTTAGACACGTTGGGTTCCTTAAAATAGAGGCGATATCGTGAGCGTACTAATGGTATCGTATAGTCGATGACTTCTCGTCTGGGAGGCGTCATTGTGAACGTAGAAACACCGATGTCGGCTTCATTGGCCACCAACTGACCGATCGCACCTGTCCAAATCTTCTGCTGCTCGCTCCAGGTACCGAATCCTTCCACTGGATCCAGAATCTTCACCGTGAAGTTCATCGCTTTACAGAGCTCTAGTAGGACCAGACCCACAAACCCGCCGAACTTACCATTCTCCAGTGAGAGTAGCGGCGAATTCTGAAAGCATTTATCAACAGAATTGTCAAGTTAGTCTTTGAATTTGTTGATCATCGTTAAATTTTAATATTTAATTCCGTGGCAAATTCTGAAGTCGATTTCAAAGCGATTTTTTATCAAGGCAACTACTTTTTACGAAAAACGATCGCCGCTGACGATCTTTTCTATCGCAACGTTAGTACGGCGCGGAGCAAAGTTCGAGAAAGATGAAAACTTACTTCCACGGATGCCACGCGTACAACTTCGCCGAACATATCGCTCCTCCTGGCATAGATGCTCTTTTGTGTCTTCAAGATCAGACCTCTATCGGGGGACCACGTGGCCAGATCGAACGTTCTGGTGCGATTATCGCGTATAGCGTACCACTCGACCAGGGTCAGGCGATCGTAGCACAAGACCAGCATCTGGGTGCTGACATCCACATTGAATACGTTATTGGTAGGGTGCGTACAGTGTTCCTCGAGAGGGTTCCCAGGACACTGAAGAAACACGACAAACCAAATGGGGAAGGAGATGGGCTTTATGCTTCTTGTGGTTTTGGCAAACTCGTCCATGGACTCCTTGGTGTCGAGGAGAACGACGAACAATGGCCGCGCGACATATTCCTGGTACTTATTGTATTTGCTCGTCAGATCCGAGAAAGTTATAGTCATTGTCATAACTCTCTGCCGAGAGAATTCGCGCGACCACATGTGCATCAACGTCATCATGTTAAAATCTGCGATATTCGCATTTGACAGTGATATTATATCTTATTTAATGTCAGCATCAGAGATATTCTCTGGATTATGAAATAATATTTCTATAGAGATGAATTTTTATTTTTTATTTTTAAATTTTTAAATAATGAAATGAGGAAGAAAGGACTTTTTAAAAATAGAGAATACTGTGGTAGATTTAGTCTCCTAATTATTCATTTGACAATATTAGACTTAAAAAAACTAAACGTAACACACATATTCTTGAAGTAAAAAAGAATAACCAATTGGTATTTGTATAACATTTATTTGTTATGTAATATTTAATAGATCGTAATTATTCATTTTTTGGTTAAATGATGTTAAATTGATAACATATTAATAATTATGTGTTATTGATAATTAATTTATTTATAATTTAAGGCAATGCTGGAGTCTATTTTATCGACAAAATATAACAATTTTTGTTCAATGTTTTTATATGTATTATTATTTTTACAAATTTTGGAATTGATAAAAATCCTTTTTCAGAATTGAGTATAATTTAAAGTATAGACAATTGATATTTACTTTTACAATTATACTCAGAAAACTTGTAATTATCATTTGAACTAGAATCAACGTAGACTATTGATACTGATTCAGATGATAATGATATATTTTCTAAGTATATCTGTAAAAATAAATCAATCTTATTAGTAATTATTTTGAATTTCTTGAAATTGTGATAATTATGTTCGAAAACATTAAGTTGATTTGTTTAAAAGTCAAATAAGACAAAAAAATGAATAAAAATCAAACTATTTATTCAATAACTGTTGCTATTTTGAAAATACATGACGTAATATCAATTATTATTATGTTAACAAGAATACTTTTTGTTGACCGCGTTTGCGGTGTAGACGTAACTTTGTATGTTCGTTTATAACGTTGTAACGCAATAGTGTACTGCGTTTTAAAACAAAAATTAAAAAAGAAGTGTTTTTCTACATCTATATTATACGCACTTTATAAATTTAAATCAATTTTTAAGTCTAGATTTTTATTCATAAAAAAAGTTCCCAAAAATTTTGAAATAGACTTTCAAAACCAGAATACCCCCTTAACTTCACTATTTTAACCTTTAATAGCATGATAAAACCTAAATCATTTGCACATGAAATTATAATTTAATAATTATTCAAAAGTTTGTAGAAATTTTTTTGTCGTCAACTGGCTGAAAGTGCGATATAAGAAATGATAGCCGAAAATTGTTCCCGGTACTTACCGCAATAGTTAGACCGTACGAAAATAACGCACGAGGTGTGATAATATTTGTAGACGTCATAGATCAGGCGGGAATAATTGTTAATGCCTATTCCCTCCGTCAGCGGTTTGATGTCCAACACGAGAAAGAGTATCGCGATTGATCGCACTATCGTATATTTCATTTCGCGAAGCGCAGATTTGAAAACGAACTCGAATGAAACTATTACTAATTAAAAAAATAGATTTACTTTGTCCTTGGCCGTGTTACGATAAAATAATTAATTGATTACTTTGAAAAGATGAATTATGAGAGAGGCACGACTTTGGTATCTTAATTTTAATGTCCTACTAAAAACAAAAATGAATCGTGGAATTTTTCGAATCCGTCAAAATTATAACTATCGCCGAGCCGAGAATTAAGGAAAGGAATGAGGATACCCGCGATTCGAGGTACGAACGCGTGACTAAAAGGCGATCATTATAAATAGAGATTTATCGGATCCGAGGATCTGGGGGGTGAACGCGAAAGAATGTTATCGGATGACGTAGATATGCGGCATTATTACAAATTACATGGAAATAAGTGACGATTTTTATCAGCAAATCGTCGATAAAACCGATTCTTCAATTATTCAACGTCGTTAAGCTGCACGTAACCGATATTACTTATTCGCGCATCGCTCATGATGATGCTATTTCACAAATATGTTCAGGTGCCTCAGTTTTCATAGCATAAAGATCAATGCAAAAGAATTTATGCATTTTAGGCGATTTGAGAAGCACGCAAGGATTGTTGGATTCACCTTTCTTTTTATTCAATTTTACTTGTTAAATTCGAATATCATACAATTAGTTAAAATAGTAGAAAGATTGACTACAATCTGGTTCCACAAATGTTGAAATATTTCGAAATCTTATGCATCAAATCCTTATCTCATTTTTATTCGTATGCATCAGAATGAATTATGAAAAAATAGAATTATGTAATATTGAATTTAATTATTAAAATTGTAAATTTTTACAAACAACAAATCCCTGTAGTATTTAAGCGATTCATTTATTTATTATGGCCAATAGCCAATCGGTCTATTATAAAATACTTGAAATTGTAAATGTCTCTCGTTGTTTACCTTTCGCAATTTATTCTTTACGCCAAAACTATGATTCAATGTTTTAACAGATTCGTTCTTCTTAAATTGAGTTTTAAATGAATAATATATTCTTTCGATTACCAATACAAGTAGTGCCAGGATTATACTGCTTAGCATTACCGTCAGAACTGGTGTTATATCGTATATATCAATTATACCATAAGTCAGCGTATTCGGGGGATTTTTTGCAAGAAATTTGTTTCGCAATTTATTCAAAATGCCATTAAACTGCAATCGGTGCAAGCTGAAAAATTCGAAAATATTAAAATATTTACATTCGAAAAGCAAAAAGCAATTATAAGAGGTTCAATCTGTATGTTTTGTAAATACATAAAAATGTAAATATATATGTATATATATATGTATATTCTCACAGGACTTACTGAAAATTTATAAAGCCAGTGTAAGGACTTCCTTTTCTTAGAATTAGCCCGATATTTTGGATTCTCCCAGTATCAATGGATTCGAGCTTACAGTGTATATACATGCTTAAGGAGTCTTTGAACACTTCCGTCGTGTAAAATGCCAATTTCTTCCGCTGGCAGACCTGCATGAGAATTAATTGACGTGAATCGACTTAAAGAAACTTAATGCCATTGATGTTATTAATTAGATAATATCGCTAACTTGCTCGAAACCTTCCCTCTGTGATGCAGGTAAATACTTCTTCTCCTCCAGCAAATTGTACATTTTCCGAAATACTGGGTCTTTGACGTGCTGCAAAATTCGAGAAAACAAAATTTGAATAAAAAGATGTTTTTTTTCTAATTATATAGTCGGGACAGAATGACTTCGTAATAAACTCTCGCTAATAATACTTATTATAAGAAACTAAAAAATTTAAGAATACAAATATATACTCTGCAAATAAAAAATTAAATTCTATAACATTTAAAATTATCAAATTTTGTATAAAAAATTATTGAATTACTAAAACTTGTTTATGCGTAATATGTTAAAGCTTTCCAAATGTTCTCGATACATTCGCGAGATTGTTTTATTGTAGCAAACTTTGAACACAGAAATACTGCAACTGACAAGTCACTGTTACGCAAAGTAATTTTTAAGTTTAAAATAATAACGGACTCACACTAGGAGGCTCGATCACGGAGCTATTTTGCACAACGATTAATTTATAAGTTCCGTCCTTAACGTAATCCTCCAGAGTGGAAAAAGGCAGTTTGGGGAAATTGAGCGTCAGAAAGCTGATCAACGAGGCGGAATAGATGGCCAGAAATATTATCGCCGAGATGTAAATTGAGAAAAAAACTAGCCTTATCGATGACTCTCTGGGAAATCCTACGTGAAATATATATAATATGCATGTCCTATTCTGGCGCCAAATATATGCATATTACTGACACATCGACGCACTAATTGATTATACGTCATCACAAATAATATAAATAAAATGTTAAATATAATTATTAAATATTTCTATAATCTAGCAAATATTACCTGGCAGACCCTGTTGGCAATAAATTCCCCAAACTTTAATATAGTTTTCGGACATTAAATCCATCGAGAAGTATCCGTTTTTTGTTTTTATAATAGTCAACAGAAAAGTACCGACTATTATTAACATTAATAATGCTATCCACATTTCAAAGCTAAATGCCTGCACAAGAATTGTAGATGGAAGAAAACAATTAATTCCACTAGACTTTGTTGCCGCAAATCTTCAGGTATATAAATTATTTTAATGCTATATTTATTTTCAAAGATATAATAAAGAGGTAACACAAATAATCTTAAATATTTAATTATATTTGAAAAAATATATTTAATTTTATGCGTTATATATGAAAACTTTGCTTTGTAAAATTTTCGTAATTTTATAATTATAGCATGTGTATATTATAATTAATATGTAGATAACTAATATATATACGGAAAGATTCAATACTATCACATCTTTGTTTCTAAATTATATTTTTTAAACAAAAGCTAAGAATAAAAATTTAAAAACATAAACACAAACTAGAAAATCTTTAATCAAATAATATAGCAATTTCTTTAATGCTGCTTGTAATTTTGTAATATTTAACATTTTTGTAAAATAAAATAATGAGCTTCTGAAAAAAGTCAGTTCCAAAACCGACAAAAATAAAAAAGAAAATATGTAAGTAAAATAGTTTTAAAAAACTGCAAAAATATAAAACAATCTAATATTAGCAATAATGTATCTATATTATTGAACAAAATAATTTGCAAAAAAAACATTGTAATACTGTCATTTTCGCATTTCTAGAACTTTTTAGCTAATATCATATGTATGTATATAAACAAGTCACACAAACATATAAATTATGGGTTTTTACCTCTTTATTTATTAATTATTTAAATTATTTATGTTTTTATCAGTATTGATAAAGTGCAACGTGCAGTTTCCGAGAAATAAATAGTTGTCCTTTTATGAGATTAGACCCCAGTATCGGTGACTTTTCCCTATTAATTAATATAAAGATAATATATTATTACCCTTAAGTATAAGTCCCATTGTACGTTGGACGCGTTGGGTTCCCTAAAATAGAGGTAGTACCGCGAGCGTATCAA